TGTGAGGGCTGAGATCAACGTGACGGTGGGTGCTGCCCGTCTCAGCGCTGCCAACGAGTCTGGGCGAAACGCCCTTTTCCTTCTTCTCCCTCCCCTCACTCCTCCATCCTGCTCCACCTGCTCCTCCTGCTCCTGCTGCTGCTCCTGCTCCTGCTCCTGCCCCTGCTCCTGCCGCTGCTGCTGCTGCTGCTGCTGCTGCTGCTGCTGCTGCTGCTGCTGCTCCTCCTCCTCCTCCTCCTCCTCCTCCTCCTCCTCCTCCTCCTCCTCCTCCTCCTCCTCCCCTGCTCGTTCTCCTCGTCATCGTCCTCGCCCTCGTGCTCGTGCTCGCGCTCGTCCTCCCGGTCCTCCTCGGCCCTGTCCTGGTGCGCCTCCGTTCCTCTGTCTGCACAGCGTCGCCCTCTTCCTCCACAGCCTGGCGCCCCTGCGTGCCCCCCCCCCCCTAGATCCCGAAGGTCGCTGGTCAGCGCGTCGTGCTCCTCGAAGCTGAAGGGCGCCATCGGGCCCGCCCCCCCCCGCCCGCCCGGCAACGGCGGTGGCGGCGGCGGGGCGGGGCAGACCCGGCGCCTGGGCACGCCGGCCCACTGCGCGCGGCAAGCGCGTGCGCCCCTCCTCGTGCTCGCCGGCCTCGCCGGCCTCGCCGTCGCCGTCGCCGCGGGCAGGTGCCGAGCCGCGCGGCACGGGAAGGCGCAGGAGAGGCCCTCCCTCCTCCTTCCTCCCTCCTCCTGCCTCCTCCTTCCTTCTTCTCCTCCTCCTCCTCCTCCTCCTCCTCCTCCTCCTCCTCCTCCTCCTCCTCCTCCTCCTTTCTCCGTGGAGACTGTGGGAAAAACAAGCTGGGTCTATCCAGCAGACGCGGGGACGGGGTCGGGGCGGGAGGCGGGGACCGGGGGGGGGGAGGGGCGGCCGCGGAACCACGATGGGCAAGATGGCGCGACGAGAGACAGGGACGAAGGAGAGGGGGAAGCGCCAGCAGCGCAGCAGGCGGAGTGGGCAGCGCGCTCGGGTGCCGGTGGAGCCCAGGCCCCAGCGCACCTCCCGCCACTGGGGGCCCCCCGCGGCCCCCCGCGGCGACGCCGTCCCTGCGCCGGCGCCTCCCTCTGCGCCGGCGCGCCCGCGACGCCCAGAAGGAGCCCAAGAGAGGGAGCACAGACCGAGAGTCTGAGCCGCCCGCCCCAGGAGGCCCCCAGGAGGTCCCCGGGAGGCCCCCAAGAGGCCCCCAAGATGCCCCCAGGAGGCCCCCAAGAGGCCCCCAAGAGGCCCCCAAGAGGCCCCCAGGAGGCCCCAAAGAGGCCCCAAGAGGCCCCGAAACGGCCCCCCACGAGGCTTCGAAAGCAGCCTCCAGGAGTGGCCCCCGAGAGGCCCCCGAGAGGCCCCCCACGAGGCCCCAACGAGCTTCCAGCAGGCTTCGTACCCCCAACGCAGGCACGGCGGCGGGGCTTGCCGTAGGCAGCCGGGTAGCGTCGACACAGCGGTGGGCCCGAGGACGCAACATCGAGGCGCACGCGCCTCTAGACGGGCGGCACGGCCCGCCGTGCAAGCTCCCTCGCGGCCCGCCCGTTCGCGCAGAAGTCGGCCTCGCTTGGGACGGCTTCCTGGCAGGTGCTGGCAGCGAACTCGCCAAGGCGAGGACGACCACAAGCGTGAAGAGGCCCTGGGACACACAGAAACACACACACACACACGAATCACAGGATGCCCCTATATATTCTCCCATCTGTTCTGGGTTTCTGCCTTCCCCCCCCACTTCCCATGTCTTCCCATATTTTCCTGGGAGTCGACGGTTATTGGAGGCCTGGACATGGGCACCAACACCAACACAGGGGGGGGCCTCCACAGGGGGAAGATGATCCCGGATTTCGGTGTTGGTGGCAATCTTTCGGTCACCGTGGGAGCCCGGGTATTACATTACCACCATCGCCGAGATCGGGATCTTCTTCCCTCGGTGGATGCACACCGCCAAAACTGGTGTTGGTGTCAACCCCTACTCCAGATTTCGCAATAAAGGGAGGGGGGTCTCATTTCGGGGGGGGTCTCTTCCAGGCTATCTTGGAGGGCCTGGGGGGTCTGGGGACGATGTTTTGGAGGGTTCTCCCACCGGGGGAGGTCTGAAATGACTTGTCGTCTTGGAGGGTCCAGACCCCTCCCTTTGATTACGACATCTGGAGCAGGCCTGCGAGGTGAATTGTGTCTGCGTGCTTCTTTCCCTCCTGCATGTCCCGACGGTCGGCGAAAGCCTCGCGCAGACAAAACCTGCACGCGGGTGGAGGAGGAGGAGGAGGAGGAGGAGGAGGAGGAGGAGGAGGAGGAGGGAGGAGGAGGAGGAGGAGGAGGAGGAGGAGGAGGAGGAGGAGGAGGAGGAGGAGGAGGGAGGAGGAGGAGGAGGGAGGAGGAGGAGGAGGAGGAGGAGGAGGAGGAGGAGGAGGAGGACGGCGCCGACGCGGGGCCGCGCCGGTGCGTGCGCGTCGTGGGGATGGGCGAGCCTGGGCAGACGCGCTGCACGGCACACGTGCACGGGCCCGCGCCGGGCGCACGGGCCCCGCACTGGACGTCCACGGGCCGCGCAAGAGGCGCGACGGGTCGCAGCCGCTTCGGGGCTACGGCTCCAGCTATCGCTTGTTACTATCACTCTACCCATCGGTCGGAAGAAGTAGGCAGAAAGATGAAGTAGGAAGGCGGATAAAGTAGATTGGGTTCGGGCCCGCCCAGAGAGCACCAAAACGCAGCAAAAGCACGTCGATTCTTGAAATAGGAAGGCGCTTGAAGCAGATTAAGTTCTGGGAATCCAAAAATACCGACTTTCAACGACCGATGGGTACAGTCAAAAACCCTAAGAAGGACGCGCGGTAAGGACGCAAGACCCTTGGGAGCCGAAGTTGGGGTTTCTGGGGCGGCGGGCGACGAGAACCCCAGGGACGCAAGAGCAAGGAGGAGCAACCCAGACCCCCGACGTCATGATTTTTTCATGACGTCGACCCCCCGAGGTCTCGACCCATTCCCCGGGACCGGCTTTTCGTCCTGAGTCGTTTTTTGACGGTCCCGAGGGCCGGTAAGGGCCCCCAAAGGCCAAAAATAATGAAAAACCTCCCGTCGCGATCTTTTCATAACTCGAGGGGGTCTGGGAAGGACGCAAGGGTACCCTGAGCAAAGTCGCGCGTCTTTCTTCGGGCTTTTGACTGTGCAGTCGGGCCCGCGCGGGGCGCACAGGGCCCCGCAAAAGGCGTCACGGGCCGCGCAGAAGGCGCGACGGGTCGCAGCCGCTTCGGGGCTGCAGTTCCAGCTACCGGTGTTTTCGAAAAAAACGCCCATCGGCAACGTTCAAGGGATGGCGCAAGCTCGCCCCCACGCCCCCAATTTCAATGTTCATCCTGTCGCGCAGGAAGCGTTTTGCAAAAGTGGGCGTTTATTCCGAAACGATTCGCACCCCCCCGCGTCGAACGCCCCCAACTTTGAAATTGGGGCCCGGGGTTGGACGCGCTTCCACGAGAAATACGAATGGGCGTTTTTTTCTCGAAAACCACGGTATCACTTGTTATTACAGGCCTCGGAAAAAATAGCGAACACTCATGCCACCTTCATCTGTGAAGGCCTCCCCCTCCCCCCAATGTTCGAAGTTGGCGGTGGGTCTGACGAGTTGCACCGCGACCACAGTCTCCCCCGCGCGTGCCAAGCTCGAGTTTGGGGGGCAGGGGGGGTGTTCACTAATTGTTTCCCTCTACCGTATCGCTCTAGCCGCCGACCGGGACAGAAGTCGTGGAGCGTGCCCAGCATGTACTACTTCATACACGATAGACACCTCAGCACGTTTACCCCGATCAGAACATCTTCAGATCGGACTTGAAGCTCGTCCACTAGCGCGCTTCCTCCATTGTTTTTTACAGGGGAAGCCCGTTCAGGTCGACCCGAAACTATTCACATGAAATTTATGTTATCATCGGACTCCGTCACCAAGCTATGTAAGATCAGAAAAATCACAACCGTTGCCGCCACGGAGGTGACTGAGCCGAGTTCGCGAAAACTTCCGTCGACGTGGTGAAATGTCAGAACTCCTGGGATCCGCCACCGTGCCTGCGCGGAATGGGCGTGTTAGAACTTGGGCCGGCACGGGAACGGAAAGAGCGCTGCAGAAACTTGCCCGAGATGGCTCATGGCACCCTTCGCTCTTGGGAGCCTTGGTGTTCAGAGCTTGTTACGTCACAGTTCTCTGTTGTGAGCCCTGGTGTTCAGGGACTTTTACGTTGTCGCTCGCTCTTGGGAGCCTTGCTGTGAAGAGCTTTTTACGTCACCGCGCTCTGGGGAGCCTCGATGTTAAGAGCTTGTTATGTCACCGCTCGCTGTTGGGAGCCGTGGTGTTACTGGGCGTCTCTGGGGCTTCTTGGGGGTCGGTTTGGGGCCATTTTGGGCCGTTTTGGGATCTTCTTGGGCCATCCTGGGGACCTTCTAGGCCGTCTTGGAGCGTCTTGGGGCTCTCTTGGGGGCCTCTTGTGGCCCTCTTGGGAGCCTCTTTGGGCCCTCTTGGGGCTCTCTTGGGGCCGTCTTGGGGCCCTCTTGGGCAGTTTGGGGGCCCTCTTCGGCCGTCTTGGGTCCCTCTTGGACCGTTTTCGGATTAATTTGGGAACCTCTTGGGCCGTCTTGGGCCGATCTCTGGAGCCTCTTAAGCAGTTTAAGCCGTTCTGGGCCCGAAAGGGCGAGAAACCGAAAAACCTCAGACACACCAGTGAATGTTGCCTCTGTGGGCTCTCTTGGAAAGCCTCTTGCAGGCCTCTTGGGGCGTCTCGGGGCCCTCTTGGACCGTCCCTGGGGCCCTTTTGGGCCGTCTTGGGAGGTTCTGGCTGTGTTGGAGCTCTCTTGGGGGCCTCGTGGGGCCCTCTTTGGGCTCTCCTGGGCAGTCTTGGGGCCCTCTTCGCCCGTCCTTGAGGCCTCTTAGGCTGTCTTGGGGCTCTCTTGGGCCGTCTTGGGGCCCTCTTGGGCCGTCTTGGGGGCCTCTTGGGCCGTCCTCGGGCGATCTTTGAGCCCTCTTGGACCGTCCTGGGGCGATCTTTGGGGCCTCTGGGGCCGTCTCGAGGCGCCGGGAAGCCGACAAAGCGAGAAGGCCAAAGTCATGCAAAAACCTTTGGAACAATCAGTGATGTTGGCCTCTGTGGGCCCTCTTGGAAGGCCTCTTGGAGGCCTCTTGGGGCGTCTCGGGGACGGTCTTTGGCGATCTGGGGCTCTTTTAAAACGCTCTGGGGCCGTCTTGGAGCCCTCTGGGACCCCTCTTGGGGGTTTCTTGGGCCGTCTTCGGAGTATCTTGGGCCGTCGTGGGCGCCTCGGAGGCAGTCTTGGAGGGGAGGGGCGTGTGAACATCCTTTTCTCCAGCCAACCCCCCTCGCCGGGACCCCTCCCTAGAGAGCTTCGCCCCGCCTGAACGTCATCTCTCGTACCTCGCTCTTTCCGTTACCTGGGATGGCACGGGAACGGAAAGAGCGGTATACAAAGCTTGCCCGAGATGGCTCATGGCACTGTTCACTCTTTGGAACCTCGGTGTTAAGAGCGTGTCACGTCACTGTGAGCTTTTGGGAGCCTTGGCGAGAAAAGCGTTCCTCGTCATGATTCGCACTGGGAGCCTTGGCCTTCAGAGCTTCTCACGTCATCGGGAGCTCTTGGGAGCCTCCATAATATACAATTCTGACCTCACCGACTCGCCTTGAAATTGACATTCCGTCACCTGGAGCTCTTGGGAGCCTTGGAATCAAATCCTCCGTCACTGGGCCGTCTGGGAGCCAGAGCCTTGGCCGCAAAGCTGTCTCCGTCACTGTGCCGTCTTGGGGCCAGAGGGCTCACACCATCGTCCTTGATGAGGAGCCTTGGCGTCAAACGAAATTAAAAAGAATCCAAGAAAAAGCGTCCGATGATCAGCGGTTTAGGCCTTTCCAAACATTACTTCGCCCCATTAGGCAGTCTTGGGGCTATCTTGCACCATCCTGGGGCCCTTCTGGGCCGTCTCGGGGGGCTTTCGTCGTCCTGGGGCTCTCTTGGAGGCCTCTTGGGAGCTTTCTTGGGAGCCTCTCTGGGCCCTCCTGGGCCGTCCTGGGGCTTTCATGGGCCGTCTTAGGGCCCTCCAGGGCCGTTTCGTGCCCTCCTGGGCCGTCTCGGCCCTCGTTGGGGCCTCTTGGCTGTCTCTGGGCGACTCGTGTGAAGTCGGGCCTGTCCCTCTACAGGTGGAATCTTCAAAAATAGTCAAAACCGAGCAGGCGAGAATCCCCAAAAACAATCACAACCTGCAACAAATCAATGTTTCAAGAGGGAAAGAAATACACAGACACAATTAATCGTCGATTTCCCAAAACATATAGGAACAACATGGGAAGTGAGGGGGAAGACAAAAAACGAATATATGGGAAAATATTGGGTATCTTTTTTTTGTGTGCATTTATTTGTGTGTCCTGGGGCCCCCTCAATGTTTTCAGCCGCCCGAGGCCCTCGCGGGGGTCCTTTTGAGGGGCCTCTCGGGCCGTCGTGGGACCCTCTCGGGCCGTCTCGAAGCCATCCGAGGCCATCTCTTGACTACAGTCAAAACGTATATTAAGGACGCGTGGTAAGGACGCAAGACCCTTGAAGGCTGAAGTTGGGATTTTTTTGGGCGGCGGCGACCAGTGAAAACGGCAAAGGACGGGCCACAGAGGCAAAGACACAAGGGTATCCTAGATGAAGGCGCGCGTCCTTACTACGCGCGTTGACTGTACCTACCAGACCACCCCAACCCAACCCGAAGACCCAAATCTAACCCGAATTTCGGGTTGGGGGGGGGGGGAACGGGTTCCATGTGTTTTTTCAGTGTTCCCCGACACCCCCCCACACTGGAGATGGAGGGCAAATGGAAGCCTTCGGGTTGGGTTGGGGTGGTTTGGTGGGTGGTGATCTCTAGGAATGCTGCTGGGCTCTCCTGGGGCGCTGTTGGGCCGCCTGGGAGACCCGCTGTAGCTCGCTGGGACCTTTCTCTCTTTTTTTTTTCCCTCTCCAGATCCCCCACCACGCCGCGCCCCGCGCTCGCCCGCGGCAGCCCGCCCCGAGCCGCCTGCGGCGCCCCCGCGGGACGGGGCTGCCCGGCGCGCCGCCGCTCGGGCCCTGCGAGAGCGCGAGGCGGGCCCGAGGCACGCGGCCAAGGCGGGTCCCGCCGCCTGCTCCGCGTCCTCGACCTCCGTGCCCCTGCTCCTGGATCGCCAGGTCCAGGTCTTGAGCAGGGGCCGACCGTCCCGGCATTCCCATCGTCCTACCACGACATGTTCTCAGAACCCAAAGACCCAGACCCCCTCGAGTTATGAAAAAATCACGACGGGAGGTTTTTCTCTATTTTTGGGCTTTGGGGGCCCTTACCGGCCTTCGGGACCGTCAAAAAACGACTCAGGACGAAAAACCGGTCCTGGGGAATGGGTCGAGACCTCGGGGGGTCGACGTCATGAAAAAATCATGACGTCGGGGGTCTGGGGATGTTCTAAGAACGAAAGCCATGTTCTTAGAACATAAGCCGATGTGTTAAGACAAGACAGTCCCAGCCTGGAATGTTCTGAGGACATTTCGCGGGAACCACAAGAGGTTCTTAGAACACTGTTTGGTAGGCCTATAGGCACGCCAGGACGCTTCGCCACTGCTTGAGTCACAAGGATACGCCTCCCCCGGCATCCGGAACAGTCGGCTGGGCGAAAGATCGACCCTGGGTAAGAGTGACCTTTGGTGCGCAGTCTTTGGGGGCCGCGAGGGAGCCAAACCCAAGGGCGCGGGCCGCTCATATCGCATCGCGCTCGGCGATCGGGGGGAGCCCGACCCAGACCCCCGACGTCATGATTTCTTCGCGACGTCGACCCCCCGAGGTCTCGACCCATTCCCCGGGACCGGTTTTTCGTCCTGAGTCGTTTTTTGACGGTCCCGAGGGCCGGTAAGCGCCGCCAAAGCCCAAAAATAGTGAAAAACCTCCCGTCGTGATTTTTCATAACTCGAGGGGGTCTGGGGATGAGCCCGCACCAAAGGTCACTCCGGCGAAAGGCCAGCCTTACGTGCAGCCGAAGCAGCCGCCCTCACGAGCCGTACACGGCGAGCCCGGCGCCCGGGCCGGCGTGCGCGCGACCGCCCGCGCCCCCCGGCCGGTCGGCGGCCGAGAGCCCGCCGACCGCCCCCTCGAACAGGGCCCTCCCCAGGCCGGCCGCCTTCGCGGCGGGCGACGGGGTGCTGTGGTCCTTAGCGGGCCCTGGAAACGACAGGGCCGTTGTTTTTTTACCGGTTCCGTTGTTCCGTTTTTGTTGCCGCTTCCGACGCCGTTTTTGTGACCCGTTCCGTCGCCGCTTTTGGACCGGTTCCGGCTCCGGTTCCAATCCTGGAGCCGTTTTGTTGCCGTTTCCCGTCGCCGTTTTTTTTTTTGCCGTTTCCATTTTCAGATGACATTTTTCTGGAAACGGTGAACAAACGGCCCTGCCGTTTCCGGGGCCCACAAAGCTGTGGTCCGAGTGGTGCTTGAGGCGGGTCTCGAGCTCGTGCCCGCGGAACCAGTAGCCGGGCTTCTGGTCCACCTGCACGGCGCCCGTGCCCGGGTCCACCTCCGCGACCCGGCAAGGGATCCAGGTGTGAAAGGTCTGCGACCACATGAGCACCTCCTGTGAAGGGGCCCTGGGGCACACAAATAAATGCGCACGAATAAAAAGAGTGCCCGTCTTTTCCCGTATTTTCTGGGTTTTCGTCTGCCCGCCCACTCTTCCCATACTGTCCCATCTTTTCCTGGGAAGCGGCGATTCATTGTGTCTGTGTGTTTTTTCCCCTCCTGCTCCTGGCCCTGGCAGTAGCCCGCCGGCCGGCCCTTGGGCTGCTGCGCCCGCAGCCGCCGGGAGAGCTCCTCCCCCTGCAGCCAGTAGCCGGGCTTCTGGTCGATCTGGACGGCGCCCGTGGCGGGGTCCACGGCCAGGACGGAGCAGGTCACCCACGTGTTGTAGGAGCTGGACCAGAACTGCACCTAAAACAGGGCTAGGATCGGGATAAATCGCTCCAGAGCGTTCCGGAGCGCTCTCAGAGCGTTCCGGAACGCTCTGGGGCGGCCGCGGCGCCCAATACATCCTCCGAACCCGCCGATTCTCAGAGATTTCGACTTATCCCGATCCGATTTTGTCCCGATCTTCGCGTCGTTTGAGCACCACTTGCCCCACCACGTACTTGCCAACCTTCATGGTGGTGGGCCTGCCGGCCCGGTGCTCTGGCTTCTCCCCCTGCAGGACGCGGCAGAACTCCTGGAACGTCACCTGAGCGGCGATCAAAAAGGGGTCCTCCTCCCCCTCCTCCTCCTCCTCCTCCTCCTCCTCCTCCTCCTCCTCCTCCTCCTCCTCCTCCTCCTCCTCCTCCTTCTAAGATTCCTCCTTTTCCTCGTACGCAAGATGGCATGGCGACCTCACGCGGCGGCCTACGCGGGCCGCCGGCGCGGCACGCTTCATGGGATACGAGGGCGCTTAATTACGCGCGAGCCTGCGCGGGCAGCTTGCGCGCCAATGCCGGCGAAGGCGACCCCACTTTTTTTTGTTGTTTGCGCCGCTCACCCCAGACCCCCGACGTCATGATTTTTTCATGACGTCGACCCCCCGAGGTCTCGACCCATTCCCCCGGACCGGTTTTTCGTCCCGAGTCGTTTTTTGACGCTCCCGAGGGCCGGTGAGGGCCCCCAGAGGCCAAAAAGAGTGAAAAACCTCCCGTGATGATTTTTTCATAACGCGAGGGGGTCTGGGCTCACCTTGCCGTCCCTGTCGAGGTCCATCTCCTCCATCAGCGACGAGGCCGGGCGGTCGCCGAGCAGGCGCTTCACCGCGGGGCGCTTGGCCAGCTCCGCGATCTCCGCGGCGCCGAGCCAGCCCCGGCGCTGCTCGTCCGCCTCGCCGAAGATCTTGCGCAGCATCCTCTCCTCTAAAGGGAAATTAGGACACGCAAATAAATACACACAAATAACAATATCCCCCATATTTTCTCATATTTTCTGGGTTTCTGTCTTCCCCCCCACTTCCCATATTTTCCCATATTTTCTGGGAATCGCCGATTAATTGTGTCTGTGTGTTTTTTCTCCTCCTGATCCTCGTCCGCGCCCGGTCCGGACGCACAGAGACATACTAATACTATATGTCCTCCTTGGAGGCGCGCGTCCGACCCAAGCATATAGTACACCCATCTTGTAGCATATCGTTCCCCGAGCGGTGTGGCCAGAAAGCGCACGCCACGACGCATGTACTATAAGATTTCTCGGTGCGCGCGTCGCCCCTGGGGTGGCGACGCACATACAGTATAAGTATGTTGGGGTGATGCCGATCCTCGTCCGCGGCCTGCGACGCCATCAGCGCGCCCATGAACTCGTCGTAGGAGAGCTCCTCTCAAAAGGGGCCCCAGGGCGCACAACGAAACGCACACAAATAAAAAGACTCCCCATGTTTGCCCATGCTTTCTGGGGATTTGTGTCTTCCCCCCCACTTCCCATATTTTCCCATATGTTTTCCTGGGGGTCAACGATTCATTGTGTCTGTGTGTTTTTGGTCCCTCCTGGTCCTCCGCCTCCTGCGCGCCCGGCGGCAGCAGGCAGGCGACGAGGCGATCCACGTCCCCGGGGGTCCACCGGCCGCTGAGGGCCGCGCGGACCTCGCCGGCGGTGATCTTCCCGTCGTTGTTGGTGTCCAGGGTCATGAAGAGGTCGTTGAGCTCCCGCAGCTGCGCGAGGTTCTGCGACTTCGCGATGTCCAGAGGAGGGCAGGGTGAGACAAGGGTGACGTTTTTGCCTTTTTCGCCTCCGAGGGGCCTCCTCGTCGCCACGGCTGGACGCAGCGTGAAAAATCAGTGCGTTTGGACCCTGGGAGGGGTCCGGGGACCGATTTTGAGCCGATTTGGCCACCGTTGTCTCACGGCCGTTGTCTCAAGTTGCCCTCCTCCGAGATGTCCGTGAGGAGGGCCCTGTACAGCTCGGTCTTCCGCTGCCTCTGCATGATGTCCGACAGCGCGTGCGTGTCGATGTCCTCGGTGGCGCCCGACGCGAACCACTCCTCGTGGAGCAGCTGGCTGGACGTGGGCCTGGCGAGGAAGTTTTTCTCGAGCATGGCGCGTATCAGCCTCTGCAGCGGCGGCGAGCCCATGGTATCCGGCTGTGCAGTCTTGGTCAGCTCTGCGATCTCCTCCAAGCCGGGCGAGCCCGGTGGGTAGAACGGGTGCTTGCCGTTCCTCAAGGTAAAGATCATTGCCCCGACCGAGAACACATCGCCGCGCGGCGTCCACAGGCCGTGGTTCCAGACCTCGGGCGGCATGTAGCCGGGCGTGCCGCCGACGCCCGACTTGGCGCTGAACTTGTTGGCAAGGCCGAAATCGATCACTATCACCTGCGGCGCGTGCCAGGCCTCCCTGCCCGCCACCATCACGTTGGCCTCCTTGAGGTCGGAGTGCACCACGCCGTTGTTGTGCAAGAACTCAACGCCTGCCAGCACCTGGTGCGACACGCCCGCAAGCCACCGCTCGTCCACGCGCACCCCGGCCGTGTGCGCCTTGGTCACGGCAGTGGTGAGGTCGCCGCCGAAGTAGGGCTCCTGGACGATGTAGACGTTCTCCCAGTCCTGGAAGATCTCGAACACGCGCGCGATCTTGGGATGCTTCAGCTCCATGAGCAACTCGAACTCCTGCGTGATCGACTCCTGCGCCTCCTTCTGATTCGTCTTGCCGTACATCTTGACGACCACCTCCTGGCCGTTGTTGGCCTTGTCGGTGGCGAGGTAGACGACGCCCTGCCCGCCTCTGCCCAGCTCCTTGGAGACGTTGTACTTGTCCGCGACGTTCATGTACCTGATGCCGCCACTGAGCTGCACGGCTCCCCCCTTCTGGGGGCTCACGGCGTCCCGGTACTGTCGCAGCATGTACATCACCAGACGCACGGTCTCCTCCTCGTAGAGGAGCTTCTCGCCCGAGACCTCGAACCTCCAGAACATCTGCCCGACGTCGCCGAAGGTGTCCTTCGGAACGCCCAGCCGCTGCGACATCTCGCCGACGAGCTGCTGGATGGCCTCGGGGCCGACGGCGGCCTTCCCACTGCGCCCCGTCTGCTCGGCCGTCTCTCGGAAGCGGTGCCTGACGTAGATCTCCAGCTCCTCGGGCTTGTTGAGCAGCTGCTGGAGCCCCTCCTTGGTGTCCTGGGAGCGGCCGCCCTTCTCGAAGGCGTCGAGGCGGCCGTCCATGGACCTCTGCGTGCACTTCGCCATGCAGATGAACAGGGAGCCGGTCTTCTCAGGGGTGCCGGAGTTCTTGCTCATCTTGACCAGCTCCACAGGTGAGAGCGTGTTGAGAAGCTCGCCGGCTAGTACCCGGTTCCAGAGGTTGTACTCGTCCAGGTCCATGGCCAGCTCCCCGCACACCACGTCCTGGCGCCAGAAATGCTCCGCGACCACCCTGAAGATGATTTTCTGGGCGTTGCCTCGGCAGAACTTGAACTTCTCGCCCCAGTACGGAGATTTGTCCCCGCCCCTGTGCGTCATGGTCCTGCCGATCTCTTTCTCGTTGCCCTCCCGGCTCTGCCGCAGGAGCTGCACGTAGCAGTCCTGTGTCCCCTTCAGCTTGTCGAATATCCTCAGGAGGGCGGCTCTCTCCACTGTGATGTCCACGAAATCCTCTGGGGAAACCAATAAGTACCGATACCGCTACTCCCTGGACCTCTCTCGGGGTGCGTTCTGATCAGGATTTCGAGGCGAATCCAGCGGTGGCGACGAGGGCCTCCCAGGAGGCCCGAAAAGGGGAAAAACGGCCGCAGGGTAGAGGTATGGTATGGGCACCTTTTCCTCCTCGGATCCTCCGCGCTCCTCGCCGCCGCTGGCCCACGCTGCGCAGGCTCCCCGGCCGGGACCGCGGCCCTCATCGCCCCACCTTTATGTCGAGCCTCTCCCTCTACAGGAAGAATATTCGGAAATAGTTCAAAAATAGTCTGGGGACTATTTGTTGCGTATTTTGGGGGCATCTTTTGGATATTTTTTGAATATTTTCTGTTTTTCGTCGAAAATTCCCCTGTAGGGGGACACGCCCGACTTGACCCCACCCGCGGCCAGCGCCCGCCGCCCGGGCCCGACGCGCGGCCCAACGCGAGGCAGCGCGGCGGCGCGCGCGCGCTCGCGCGCGCGCAAGCGGCGGGCGGGCGGGCGCCCGAGGAGCCGGGCCCTTCTTGAGCCCAAACGGCTGCGGGGAGCTCTCGGGGGCATACTTAGCCGAGGAGGACGAGGAGGATGAGGAGGAGGAGGAGGAGGAGGAGGAGGAGGAGGAGGAGGAGGCGGAGCGGGAAGGAGGTTGAGGTTGTGGGTGGAGGAGGAGGTGGAGGAGGAGGAGGAGGGGGAGGGGAAGGAGGGAGGAGGAGGAGGAGGAGGAGGAGGAGGAGGAACAGGAGAGGAGGGAGGAGCGCCGTTGGGAGGCCTCTCGGGGGCCGTCGCGGGAGGCCCCTCGGCCGCCCCTGGGGGGGGCCCTCCTTGGGCAGTGCTGGGAGAAGGAGGGGGGGGAGGAGGGGGGGGGGGGGGGAGGGGGGGGAGGGGGGGGAGGGGGGAGAAGGATGGGGGGGAGGGGGGAGGGGGGGGGGGGGGAGAAGGAGGGGGGGGGAGGGGGGGGGGCGTTCTGCGCCGCCCGCCGGGTTTCGCCTCGGCCCCTCCCCTGGAACCCCTGGGTTGGATGGGCTGCCAACACTGCTCCTGGGCGCGTGCCAAGGATCGCACTGGCTTGCCCCCCCCCCCCCATCCTCCCCCCGGACCTTTCGGTTCAAAGCCCTCGACAAAACTCTCTCGCACCCGCTCTTTCCGTCATGCTTCTCTGTTGTCTGGACGGTTCGTTAGACAATCGGCCTTTCTGGAGTTGCTCTCCAGAACACTCTACTGCCTTCAGGCAGCCAAGGCGGCCTCCAAGACAGCTAGGATGACACCAAGATGGCTCAAGGTGGTCCAAGACAGCTTAAGAGGCTCCCAAGACGGTCTCGAGACTGCTCGAAAGGCCTCCCAGACGGCCCAAGAGGGCACCACGAGGCCCTCCAGGAGAGCCCCACGCACTTCTCTAGATTTTGCAAGGATTTGAGATTCTCGCTTGTTTCGGTCTGCGACTGTGCCTCAGATGGCCCTAGATGCCTTCAAGATAGCGCCAAGAGGCCCCAAAAGAGGCCCCCAAGGCTCCCCAAGAGGCTCTGAAGACTGCTGCCAGGTCCCCAAGGCGTCTCAAGAGGCCTCCAAGGGGCCCCTAGGGCGCCCCGAGAGGCCCCCAAGAGCCACCAGGAGGCCCCCAAGACGTCCAAGAGGCGTCCAAGATACCCCTAGAGACATTTCTAAGAGACTCCCAGAGGCATCCAAGAAGCATCTGGCCCACGGAGGCTCCCCGAGCTCTTGAAATGCTACCTCGCTGCCCCGAGAAGGGCAGCTCCCCTGGGCATCGTTCCTCGATGGGCTGGTGAGGATACTTTTTTGATCGCGCCCGCGGCGGAGAAAGGTCGGGCCGCGTCCAGGATATTGCACACAAGCAACGGCCTAAATTAGCGCAACGGAAGAGGAAGACGAAAAGAAAAGAGCAAGAACAAAGCTGGTGAGGATACGTGAAGCGTCAAACATTCAAGCTCCTTCCTGCTACGCTGTTGCACAGGCGCGGTGGCGGGGCTTGCCGCAGGCAACTGGATTGGTGCACCTTCGCTGCCAAGCCTCTTGACGGCATGTGCACCATCTCCGGACGGTGTGGTGAACCGTACCATGTGGAGTTGTAGCACCCCCAAGCGGCGAGGGGGGGCAAACGCCGATCTCGAAAACGGAAGAGTCGCCTCGCCCCCCAGCGTTTCTAACATCACCTGCAGGGCCGCGGCGAGCTGCAAGCAGCCTCGACGTCGCGCCACCTGCTGGGAGCCCCAAGGTGGCGGGGCCACGCCCGCGCGCGAGGCAGCCCCGCTTGCCTGCGGCGCCCAGTCGCCTCGAGTAGGTGGTGACATCCGCACCCCGCCTCCAGCAAACGTCGATCCTCCCGAGTCGATGGGAGGCGGGGGCAGGGGCCGGATCTCGCCACGCGTTGGACAAACCTTCTCCTCCTCCTCCTCCTCCTCCTCCTCCTCCTCCTCGTCCTCCTCCTCCTCGTCCTCCTCCTCCTCGTTCTCCTCCTCCTCCTGCACCGATGCCTCGGGAGAAGGACAACCAGCCACGTGGGGGCTGCTTCGCCCTGCCCCGCCGCTCCTCGAGTCGCTTGGAACCGTTGCTCGGCGAGGGGGTTCGAGTTCGGATTTTTCGCCGACCCCGCCGAAGCCTGGCGCCGCGCAGGCCGCGGCGCTGCCCGCGTGGCCTGCCCCGGGGAGTCGCCGGCGCAGTGCGGGCCAGCGCTCGGGGTGCCGCGGCAGAGGGCCCCGAGCGCGCCGCGCAGGGCTCGCCCGGGGCGCGCGCGCGCGCGCGCCCGAGGGCCTCGCCCCTCCAGGCCTGCGGCGCGCGGGAGGCTCCTTTTGGCCCCGTGGCGGGGCCACGCGCCGGATCGGCACAGCCCGCGCCTCGCCGCAGGGGTGCCGTCGGCACGGCCCCCGCGCGGCGCGGGAGAAGCCGCGGCGGGAGCCCCAACGGTCGCGCACGCCAGAGTGCAGCGAGGCACGAGCCTGCCTCGAGGTCGCCAGACTATCCCTCCAGAGCTGCATGCAGGTCGCGCTCGTCGCCTGCGCGACACCCTCTTGGGCCAAGGACGCCGGGCCTCTTTGCACGCGCACCGTCGACGTCGTGGACCCAGCACAGGGGAAGCTGCAGCAGAAGCCTGGTTGCGCAGTCCAGTGTTCGGCTTTCCTCCTCCCTCTCCCTCTGATCCCCCTCCTCCTCCCTCCTCCCCCTCCTCCACACGCTCCTCCCCCTCCTTCACCCGTAGACAGTTTGGCTCAAGTTCAACCCCTCCCCTCGGGGGGTTGAGCTCGCCACAGCCGTGGGCTCGAGGGGCAGGCCAATTGCCTGCCCCATCGAGCCCTTAGCCGCTGGGCGCCACCTCCTGGCGCCCCCTGGCGGCGACAGTGGCGTCTTCTTCTGGGCGTTCGGCAAGTGGCCTGCGCTCGCTCCGACCGGTCTTCGAGGCGTTCGGTAAATGGCCGCGCCCTCCCAGCTGGTCTTCGAGGCGATCGGCAAGTGGCCTGCGCTCGCTCCGGCTGGTCGTCGAGGCATTTGGCAAGGGTCCGCGTCCGCCCTGCTGGTCTTCGGGGCGTTCGGCAAGTGGCTCGTGTCAGATTTTCTGCAGCACACTCGACTCCAAGGAGGTCGTAGTAGAGCACTGCAAGGATCCATGGGGATCATGAGAGGAGGTGGCCACGTGGGACAGCAGACCACCTTCCTTAACTACATCGGCGTGTTCCTCGTGGCTTCAGGCCAGACAAATCCATCTGCCTGTTCGGCTACTTGGTCCTCGTGGCTTCAGGCCAGACAAATCCATCTGCCTGTTCGGCTACTTGGTCGGGATATTCTTCGACTTTTCAGGTCGCTCCTCCCTCCTCCTCCTCCTCCTCCTCCTCCTCCTCCCCCTCCTCCTCCTCCTCCTCCTCCTCCTCCTCCTCCTCCTCCTCCTCCTCCTCCTCCTCCTCCTCCTCCTCGAGCTAGGGCGCGGGGACAAGAACACATTCATGATCCTCCCCCTCTCACTCCCTCTCCCCCTCCTGCTCTTGCCGATACTGCTGCTCCTCCTTCTCCTCCTTCTCCTCCTTCTTCTCCTCCTCCTCGTCCTCCTCCTCCTCCTCCTCCTCCTCCTCCTCCTCCCCCTCCTCCTCCTCCCTCCTCCTCCTCCTCCTCCTCCTCCTCCTCCTCCTCCTCCTCCTCCTCGATTCATCAGGAACGGCAGGAGTTCTGGCACTGTTCGTGCCGCATCTAATTCCCCAGCGCCAGCACTCTCGGCTGAGACTGCGGGCTACGAGCCTCTGAATACTATGCCCAGCTAGTCTGCGGTCCGTTGCTTCGGATAGTCCGACCCAACATGTGTGGCAGGAGACGGGTATCACCTGCAGCAGCTGCCCTGTACCAGTTTGTTGTTCAGCTCCAACACTCCGCGCCAAGGCTGTGTGCCAACGGCCTCTGCGTAGCAGGCCCGGCTGGGCCCGCGGCCCGCTGCTCCGGCCAGACCGAGCCGACGGGCACGACGGGAGCTCTGGCACACGAATCGTGCCACGTGATGCTCGGTAGGCGCACCCGGCGCAGCACGCGCCAGCAGCAGCACGCGCCAGCAGCAGCACGCAGAGTCATGTTGCAGCAGCATGTGCCAGGAGCGCGTGCCAGCGGCGCGTGGCCGGCACGTGCCAGCAGCGCGAGCCAGCAACAAGAACTGCAACCCGAGCGGACCGCCGAAGGCCTACGGATCGGCATATTTTTTTGTGGTCGCCCCTCTGCTCGGATCGAGGGGGCCACTCGCAGGCGCAATCGCCTTGGTTCGCCCTGCTCGCGCGCCGCCTGGCAGAAGGCTTCGGACTGAGTGCCTACTCGAGTCGCCCACTCGTTGTTGATAAGGGAATCGGTGGCGTACCGGGGGC